TGATCTCACTGGGCTTTAGTGCACTGTACTGTGCTTTTACCCTGATCTCACTGGGCTTTAGTGCACTGTACTGTGCTTTTACCCAGATCTCACTAACCAGGACCTGATGACACAGATCCACAGTTCTCAGGGAGAGGCGTGTTTTTCCACAGAAAGCCTGGGCATGTCTGTATAGGGGGCGTGTCAGAGTGCAGGAAGTGCAGTGGGTACCGTTGTGAGTACCAGTCGACCACCCAGGCCTTCTCTCTCTCTGCCAGTCTGACCCACGAGACACCAACACTGAAACACTTTCCACAATGACAGGCTCTCCATCGTGCCTCTGTGTTGCCCATTTTCCTCACTTCCTCTGCCCCCCCACACTTCCTAAGTCTCTTTAGGCCCCCCTCTGTCACCTACTCCCACTCCCCCCTTCACCCCCCAACTCTGTTTAATCAGAGGAACAATAGGACTGTGAGTCCAAACAGGATACCTCTGTTTCCTGCACTGTGTCCCTGTCCCTGAGACAGCTTTCTGACACACTGGGCACAACACACACACTCAGTCTGAGACAGCCCTGCCCCTCTGACATGCTGAACACACACACACAGTCCAAGACAGCCATGCCCCTCTGACATGCTGAACACACACAGACAGACACACTGAGTCTGACACGCTGAACACACACACTGAACACAACACACACTGGAGACAACACACACTCTGAGTCCGAGACAGCCCTGCCCCACTGACACACTAAACACACACTGAACACAGCACGCACTGGGAACAACACACCGTGAGCACAATATACACTGGGCACAACAATCACACAAAATCTGAAATAGCCCTGCCCCTCTGACACATTGGGCACAACACACACTAAGTACGATATACACTGAGCACTAACACAGCACACACTGAGCACAATATACACTGGGCAGAACACACACATTAAGCACAACACACACTGAGCACAATGTACACTGGGCACAACGCTCTTGTATACTTCTGCTGGACACACCCTTCTGCCCTGTCTGCCGGCTGGCCGGTCACCCCAACACCACCCCCAGCACCCCTGGAGCTGCAGAGGGGCTCTGGGAACCTTCTCTCCCCCCGAAAAAGCAAAACAAAAACAGGCTCTTCCGTGCTCTCCTGCTTCTGTTTGTCAACTTCCTGCAAAATATCCCGACTTCCTGAGAGCCAGCGAGCAGCTGTGCACTCGCAACAGGGTCGTTAACCCCCCCTCTACCCCGGCCCCCCCAGGAGAGAGCTGCCCTCCACCCGCCTGTCGCCCTCTCTCCCACTCGCCCCCTCACTCCCTCCCTCTCTCGCCCAGGTGTCCCGCTGGCCCCCTCCTCCTGTGAGAGCCTGTGTGAAGTCTCTTGATGTTCAGGGCCCAGAGCGCACCTGCTCCTGGCTTCCACCAGTGACCCTGAGCACCTTGTCAGCTCAGCACATTCCCCGGCCTGCTGCTCGCAGATTAACTGCCCTGCCAGACCGACACGGGCAGAGAGACGGGGTCGGAGACAGAAGAAAAGCTT